TCTGGTTTGAAAGGTTCGCGTGAACTCGTTGCTGGTATGAAAGGGGTACGAGAACTGGTTTCTGGGCGCGTGAAAAGGTTGGTGGTTTGAAAGGGGCGCGTGAACTGGTTAGTGGTTTGAAAGGGGAACGAGAATGGTTTCTGGTTTGAAAGTGGCGCGTGAACTATTTGGTGGTTTCAAAGGGATACGAGAACTGGTTTCTGGTTTGAAAGGTGCGCGTGAACTCGTTGGTGCTTTGAAAGGGATACGAGAAATTGTTTCTGGTTTGAAAAGGGCGCGTGAACTGGTTGGTGGTTTGAAGGTCGTACGACAACTGTTTTCAGGTTTGAAATGGGCGCGGGAACTGGTTGGTAGTTTGAAAGGGGTACGAGAACTGGTTTCTGGTATGAAAGGGGGGCGTGAACTGGTTGGTGGTTTGAAAGGTGTACGAAAACGGATTTTTAACTTGAAAGGGGCGCATGAACTGGTTGGTGGTTTGAAACGGGTAAGAGATCTGGTTTCTGGCTTGAAATGGAGGCCTGAACTGGTTGGTGGTTTGAAAGGAGTACGGGAACGGGTTTCTGGCTTGAAAGGGGAGTGTGAAGTGGTTGGTGGTTTGAAGGTGGTACGTGAACTGGTGTCTGGTTAGAAGAGGGCGCGTGAACTGGTTGGTGGTTTGAAAGGGGTACGATACCTGGTTTCTGGCTTGAAAGGGGGGCGTGAACTGGTTGGTGGTTAAAAAAGGGTACGAGAACTGGTTTCTGGTTTGAAAGGGGCACGTGAACTGGTTGGTGGATTGGAAGGGGTACGAGAACTGGTTTCTGGTTAGAAAAGGGCGCGTGAACTGGTTGGTGGTTTGAAAGTGGTACGAGAAATGGTTTCTGGCTTCAAAGGAGCGCGTGAACAGGTTGGTCGTTTGAAAGGGGTACGAGATCTGGTTTCTGGTGTGAAAGGGGCGCCTGAACTGGTTGGTGGTTTGAAAGGTGTACGAGAACTGGTTTCTGGTTTGAAAGGGGCGCGTGAAATCATTGGTGCTTTGAAAGTAATACGAGAAATAGTTTCTGGATTGAAAAGGGCGCGTGAACTTGTTGGTGGTTTGAAAGGAGTACGACAACTATTTTCAGGTTTGAAAGGGGCGGGTCAATTGGTTGGTGGTTTGAACGGGGCGCGTGAAATAGTTTCTGGTTTGAAAGGGGCGCGTGAACTGGTTGGTGGTTAGAAAGGTGTACGAGATCTGGTTTCTGGCTTGAAAGGGGTGCGTAAACTGGTTGGTGGTTTGAAAGGTGTACGAGAACTCGTTTCTGGTTTGAAAGGGGCGCGTGAACTGGTTGGTGGTTTCAAAGGGTTACGAGAACTGGTTTCTGGTTTGAAAGGAGCGCGTGAACTGTTTGGTGGTTTCAAAGGGGTACAAGAACTGGTTTCTGCTTTGAAAGGGGCGCGTGAACTGGTTGGTGGTTTGAAAGTGGTACGAGAATGGGTTTCTGGTTTGAAAGGGGCGCTTGAACTGTTTGGTGGTTTGAAATGTGTACGTGAACAGGTTTCTAGCTTGAAAGGGGCGCGTGAATGGTTGGTGGTTTGAAAGGTGTAAGAGGACGGGTTTCTGCTTCGAAAGGGGCGCGTGAACTGGTTTGTGGTTTAAAAAAGGTACGAGAACTGGTTTGTGGCTTGGAACGGGCGCGTGAACTGGTTGGTGGTTTGAAAGTGGTACGAGAACAGGTTTCTTGCTTGAAAGAGGGACGAGAACTGGTTGGTGGTTTGAAAGGGGTACGAGAACTGGTTTCTGGTTTGAACGGGGCGCGTGAACTGGTTGGTGGTTTGAAAGATGTACGAGAACTGGTTTCTGGTTTGAAAGGGGCGCGTGAACTGGTTGGTGGTTTCAAAGGGTTACGAGAACTGGTTTCTGGTTTGAAAGTTGCGCGTGAACTGGTTGGTGGTTTGAAACGGGTACGAGAACTGATTTCTGGTTAGAAAGTGGTGCGTGAACTGGTTGGGGGTTTGAAAGGGCTACGAGAAATGATTTCTGGTTTGAATGGAGTGCGTGAATTGGTTGGTGGTTTGAAAGGTGTACGAGAACTGGTTTCTGGTTTAAAAGGGGCGCGTGAACTGGTTGGTGGTTTGAAAGGGTTACGGGAACGGGTTTCTGGCTTGAAAGGGGAGTGTGAATTGGTTGGTGTTTTGAAGTGGGTACGTGAACTGGTTTCTGGTTAGAAGGGGGCGCGTGAACTGGTTGGTGGTTTGAAAGGGGTAGGTTATCTGGTTTCTGGCTTGAAAGGGGCGCGTGAACTGGTTGGTGGTTAAAAGGGGTACGGGATCTGGTTTCTGGGTTGAAAAAGTCGCGTAAGCAGGTTGGTGGCTTGAAACGGGCGCGTGAACTGTTTGGTGGTTTGAAAGGGGTACAAGAACTCGTTTCTGTTTTGAAAGGGGCGCCTGAACTGGTTGGTGGTTTGAAAGGTGTACGAGAATTGGTTTCTGGTTTGAAAGTGGCGCGTGAAATCGTTGGTGCTTTGAAAGTAATACGAGAAATATTTTCTGGATTGAAAGGGGCGCGTGAAATTGTTGGTGGTTTGAAAGGAGTACGACAACTATTTTCAGGTTTGAAAGGGGCGCGTCAATTGGTTGGTGGTTTGAAAGGGGCGCGTGAACTAGTTTCTGGTTTGAAAGGGGCGCGTGAACTGGTTGGTGGCTTGAATGCGGCGCGTGAACTGGTTGTTGGTTAGAAAGGGGTACGAGATCTGGTTTCTGGCTTGAAAGGGGTGCGTAAACTGGTTGGTGGTTTGAAAGGTGTACTAGAACTCGTTTCTGGTTTGAAAGGGGCGCGTGAACTGGTTGGTGGTTTCAAAGGGTTACGAGAACTGGTTTCTGGATTGAAAGGGGCGCGTGAACTGGTTGGTGGTTTCAAAGGGGTACGAGAACTGGTTTCTGGTTTGAAAGGGGCGCGTGAACTGGTTGGTGGTTTCAAAGTGGTACGAGAACGGGTTTTTGGTTTGAAAGGGGCGCGTCAACTTGTTGGTGGTTAGAAAGTGGTACGAGAACGGGTTTCTGGTTTGAAAGGGGCGCTTGAACTGTTTGGTGGTTTGAAATGTGTAGGAGAACTGGTTTCTGGCTTGAACGGGGTGCGTGAACTGGTTGGTGGTTTGAAAGGATTACGAGAACTGGTTTCTGGTTTGAAAGTTGAGCGTGAACTTGTTGGTGTTTTGAAAGGGGTACGAGAACTGGTTTCTAGTTAGAAAGTGGTGCGTGAACCGGTTGGTGGTTGGAAAGCGCTACGAGAACTGTTTTCTGATTTGAAAGGGGTGCGTGAACTGGTTGGTTGTTTGAAAGGTGTACGAGAACTGGTTGGTGGTTTGAAAGGGGTACGAGAACTGGTTTCTGGTTTGAAAGGGGCGCGTGAACTGGTTGGTGGTTTGAAAGGGGTATGACAACTGGTTTCTGGTTTGAAAGGGGCGCGTGAACAGGTTGGTGGTTTCAAAGGTGTACGAGAACTGTTTTCTGGTTTGAAAGGGGCGCGTGAACTGGTTTCTGGTTTCAAACAGATGCGTGAACTGTTTGGTGGTTTGAAATGTGTACGAGAACTGTTTTCTGGCTTGAAAGCGGCGCGTGAATGGTTGGTGGTTTGAAGTTGTACGAGGACGGGTTTCTGGTTCGAAAGGGGCGCGTTTACTGGTTCGTGGTTTGAAAGGAAGGTTAGAAAGGGGAAGCGAAACTGTTTTCTACGAGAACTGGTTTGTGGTTTGAAAGGGGCGCGTGAACTGGTTGGTGGTTTGAAAGGTGTACGAGAACTGGTTTCTGGCTTGAAAGGGGCACGTGAACTGGTTGCTGGTTTGAAAGGGTTAGGGGAACTGGTTTCTGGTTTGAAAGGGGCGCGTGAACTAGTTGGTTGTTTGAAAGGGGTACGAGAACTTGTTTCTGGTTTGAAAGGGGCGCGTGAACTGGTTGGTGGTTTGAAAGGATTACGAGAACTGGTTTCTGGTTTGAAAGGGGCGTTTGAACTGGTTGGTGGTTTGAAAGAGGTACGAGAACTGGTTTCTGGATTGAAAGTGGCGCGTGAACTGGTTGGTGCTTTTAAAAGGGTACGACATCTGGTTCTGGCTTGAGAGGGGCGCCTGAACATGTTGGTGGTTTGAAAGGGGTACGAGAACTGGTTTCTTGTTTGAAAGGGGTGCGTGAACTGGTTGGTTGTTTGAAAGGCGTACGAGAACTGGTTTCTGGTTTAAAAGGTGCGCTTGAACTGGTTGGTGGTTTCGAAGGGTTACGAGAACTGTTTTCTGGTTTGAAAGGGGTGCGTGAACTGGTTGGTGGTTTGAAAGGAGTACGAGAACTGGTTTCTTGTTTGAAAGGGGCGTTTGAACTGGTTGGTGGTTTGAAAGAAGTACGACAACTGGTTTCTGGTTTGAAATGGGTGAGTGATCTGGTTGGTGGTTTGAAAGGGATACGAGAACTTGTTTCTAGTTTGAAAGGGGCGCGTGAACTGGTTGGTGGTTTGAAAAAGGTACGAGAACTGGTTTCTGGTTATAAAGTGGTGCGTGAACTGGTTGCTAGTTTGAAAGGTGTACGAGAACGGGTTTCTGGTTTGAAAGGGGCGCTTGAACTGGTTGGTGGTTTGAAAGGGTTACGAGAACTGTTTTCTGGCTTGAAAGGGGCGCGTGAACTGGTTGGTTGTTTGAAAGGTGTACGAGAACGGGTTTCTGGTTTGAAAGGGGCGCGTGAATTGGTTGCTGGTTGAAAATGTGTACGAGAACTGGTTTCTGTTTTGAATGGGGTGCGTGAACTGGTTGGATGTTTGAATGGTGTACGATAACTGGTTTCTGGTTTGAAAGGTGCGGGTGAAAAGGTTGGTGGTTTGAATGGTGTACGAGAACTGGTTTCTGGTTAGAAAGTGGTGCGTGAACTGGTTGTTAGTTTGAAAGGGGAACGCGAACTGTTTTCTGGTTTGAAAGGGATGCGTGAACTGGTTGGTGGTTTGAAAGGTGTACGAGAACTGGTTTCTGGTTTGAAAGTGGTGCGTGAACTGGTTGGTGGTTTTAAAAGCGTACGAGATCTGGTTTCTGGCTTGAAAGGGGCGCGTGAACCTGTTGGTGGTTTGAAAGGGGTACGAGAACTAGTTTCTGGTTTGAAAGGGGCGCGTTTACTCGTTGGTGCTTTGAAAGGAATACGAGAAATGGTTTCTTGTTTGAAAGGGTCGCGTTAACTGGTTGGTGGTTTGACAGGGGCGCGTGAACTGGATTCTGGTTTGAAAGGGGCGCGTGAACTGGTTGGTGGCTTGAAAGAGGCGCGTGAACTAGTTGCTGGTTAGAAAGGTGTGCGAGATCTGGTGTCTGGCTTGAAAGGTGTGCGTGAACTGGTTGGTGGTTTGAAAGGTGTACGAGAACTGGTTTCTGGTTTGAAAAGGACGCGTGAACTGGTTGGTGGTTTCAAAGGGGTACGAGAACTGGTTTCTGGTTTGAAAGGGGCGCGTAAACTGTTTGGTGGTTTCAAATGTGTACGAGAACTGGTTTATGGTTTGAAAGGGGCGCGTGAACTCGTTGGTGCTTTGAAAGGAATACGAGAAATGGTTTCTGGTTTGAAAGGGGCGCGTTAACTGGTTGGTGGTTTGAAAGGGGCGCGTGAACTGGTTTCTGGTTTGAAAGGGGCGCGTGTACTGGTTGTTGGCTTGAAAGAGGCGCGTGAACTGGTTGCTGGTTAGAAAGTGGTGCGAGATCTGGTTTCTGGCTTGAAAGGTGTGCGTGAACTGGTTGGTGGTTTGAAAGGCGTACGAGAACTGTTTTATGGTTTGAAAGGGGCGCGTGAACTCGTTGGTTGTTTGAAAGTGGTACGAGAACGGGTTTCTGGTTTGAAAGGGGCGCTTGAATTGTTTGGTGGTCTGAAATGTGTACGAGAACTGGTTTCTGGCTTGAAAGGGGCGCGTGAATGGTTGGTGGTTTGAAAGGTGTACGAGGACGGGTTTCTGGTTCGAAAAGGGCGCGTGAACTGGTTCGTGGTTTGAAAGGGGTACGAGAACTGGTTTGTGGTTTGAAAGGGGCGCGTGAACTGGTTGGTGGTTTGAAAGGGGCGCGTGAACTGGTTTCTGGTTTGAAAGGGGCGCGTGAACTGGTTGGTGGCTTGAAAGGGGCGCGTGAACTGGTTGTTTGTTAGAAAGGGGTACGAGATCTGGTTTCTGGCTTGAAAGGGGTGCGTGAACTGGTTGGTGGTTTCAAATGGGTACGAGAACTGGTTTCTGGTTTGAAAGGGGCGCGTGAACTGGTTGGTGGTTTAAAAAAGGTACGAGAAATGGTTTCTGGTTTGAAAGGAGCGCGTGAACTGGTTGGTGGTTTGAAAGTGGTACGGGAAAGGGTTTCTGGTTTGAAAGGGGCGCTTGAACTGTTTGATGGTTTCAAATGTGTACGAGACCTGGTTTTTGGCTTGAAAGGGGCGCGTGAATGGTTGGTGGTTTGAAAGGTGTACGAGGACGGGTTTCTGGTTCGAAAGGGGTGCGTGAACTGGTTCGTGGTTTGAAAGGGGTACGAGAACTGGTTTGTGGTTTGAAAGGGTCGCGTGACCTGGTTGGTGGTTTGAAAGTGGTACGAGAACTGGTTTCTGTCTTGAAAGAGGCACCTGAACTGGTTGGTGGTTTGAAAGGGGTACGTGAACTGGTTTCTGGTTCGAAAGGGGCGCGTGAACTGGTTGGTGGTTTGAAAGGGGTACGACAACTGGTTTCTGGTTTGAAAGGGGTGAGTGATCTGGTTGGTCGTTTGAAAGGGATACGAGAACTTGTTTCTAGTTTGAAAGGGGCGCGTGAACTGGTTGGTGGTTTGAAAGGTGTACGACAACTGGTTTCTGGTTTGAAAGGGGCGCGTGAACTGGTTGGTGGTTTGAAAGGGGTACGACAACTGGTTTCTGGTTTGAAAAAGAGTGATCTGGTTGGTGGTTTGAAAGGGATACGAGAACTTGTTTCTAGTTTGAAAAGGGCGCGTGAACTGGTTGGTGGTTTGAAAGAGGTACGAGAACTGGTTTCTGGTTAGAAAGTGGTGCGTGAACTGGTTGCTGGTTTGAAAGGTGTACGAGAACGGGTTTCTGGTTTGAAAGGGGCGCTTTAACTGGTTGGTGGCTTGAAAGAGGCGCGTGAACTGGTTGCTGGTTAGAAAGGTGTGCGAGATCTGGTTTCTGGCTTGAAAGGTGTGCGTGAACTGGTTGGTGGTTTGACAGGTGTACGAGAAATGGTTTCTGGTTTGAAAAGGACGCGTGAACTGGTTGGTGGTTTCAAAGGGGTACGAGAACTGTTTTCTGGTTTGAAAGGGGCGCGTAAACTGGTTGGTGGTTTCAAATAGGTACGAGAACTGGTTTATGGTTTGAAAGGGGCGCGTGAACTCGTTGGTGCTTTGAAAGGAATACGAGAAATGGTTTCTGGTTTGAAAGGGGCGCGTTAACTGGTTGGTGGTTTGAAAGGGGCGCGTGAACTGGTTTCTGGTTTGAAAGGGGCGCGTGTACTGGTTGTTGGCTTGAAAGAGGCGCGTGAACTGGTTGCTGGTTAGAAAGTGGTGCGAGATCTGGTTTCTGGCTTGAAAGGTGTGCGTGAACTGGTTGGTGGTTTGAAAGGTGTACGAGAACTGTTTTATGGTTTGAAAGGGGCGCATGAACTCGTTGGTGGTTTGAAAGTGGTACGAGAACGGGTTTCTGGTTTGAAAGGGGCGCTTGAATTGTTTGGTGGTCTGAAATGTGTACGAGAACTGGTTTCTGGCTTGAAAGGGGCGCGTGAATGGTTGGTGGTTTGAAAGGTGTACGAGGACGGGTTTCTGGTTCGGAAGGGGCGCGTGAACTGGTTCGTGGTTTGAAAGGGGTACGAGAACTGGTTTGTGGTTTGAAAGGGGCGCGTGAACTGGTTGGTGGTTTGAAAGGTGTACGAGAACTGGTTTCTGGCTTGAAAGGGGCGCGTGAACTGGTTGCTGTTTTGAAAGGGGCGCGTGAACTGGTTTCTGGTTTGAAAGGGGCGCGTGAACTTGTTGTTGGCTTGAAAGGTGCGCGTGAACTGGTTGGTTGTTAGAAAGGGGTACGAGATCTGGTTTCTGGCTTGAAAGGGTTGCGTGAACTGGTTGGTGGTTTCAAATGGGTACGAGAACTGGTTTCTGGTTTCAAAGGGGCGCGTGAACTGGTTGGTGGTTTAAAAGAGGTACAAAAAATGGTTTCTGGTTTGAAAGGAGCGCGTGAGCTGGTTGGTGGTTTGAAAGTGGTACGAGAAACGGGTTTCTGGTTTGAAAGGGGCGCTTGAACTGTTTGATGGTTTGAAATGTGTACGAGAACTATTTTTTGGCTTGAAAGGGGCGCGTGAATGGTTGGTGGTTTGAAAGGTGTACGAGGACCGGTTTCTGGTTCGAAAGGGGCGCGTGAACTGGTTCGTGGTTTGAAAGTGGTACGAGAACTGGTTTGTGGTTTGAAAGGGTCGCGTGACCTGGTTGGTGGTTTGAAAGTGGTACGAGAACTGGTTTCTGTCTTGAAAGAGGCACCTGAACTGGTTGGTGGTTTGAAAGGGGTACGTGAACTGGTTTCTGGTTCGAAAGGGGCGCGTGAACTGGTTGGTGGTTTGAAAGGGGTACGACAACTGGTTTCTGGTTTGAAAGGGGTGAGTGATCTGGTTGGTGGTTTGAAAGGGATACGAGAACTTGTTTCTAGTTTAAAAAGGTCGCGTGAACTGGTTGGTGGTTTGAAAGAGGTACGAGAACTGGTTTCTGGTTAGAAAGTGGTGCGTGAACTGGTTGCTGGTTTGAAAGGTGTACGAGAACGGGTTTCTGGTTTGAAAGGGGCGCTTGAACTGGTTGGTGGTTTGAAAGGATTACTAGAACTGTTTTCTGGCTTGAAAGGGGCGCGTGAACTGGTTGGTGGTTTGAAATGTGTACGAAAAGCGTTTCTGGTTTGAAAGGGGTGCGTGAATTGGTTGGTGGTTTGAAAGGGGTACGAGAACTGCTTTCTGGTTTGAAAGGGGCCCGTGAACTGGTTGGTGGTTTCAAAGGTGTACGAGAACTGGTTTCTGGTTTGAAAGGGGTGCGTGAACTTGTTTTTGGTTTGAAGGGGTACGAGAACTGGTTTCTGGTTTGAAAGGGGCGCGTGAACTGGTTGGTGGTTTGAAAGAGTTACGAGAACTGTTTCTGGTTTGAAAGGGGCGCGTGAATTGGTTGGTGGTTTGAAAGAGTTACGAGAACTGGTTTCTGGTTAGAAATTGTTGCGTGAACTGGTTGGTGGTTTGAAAGATGTACGAGGAAGGGTTTCTGGTCTGAAAGGGGCTTTTGAACTGGTTGGTGGTTTGAAATGGGTACGAGAACTGTTTTCTGGCTTGAAAGGGGCGCGTGAACTGGTTGGTTGGTTTGAAAGGTGTACGAGAACGTGTTTCTGGTTTGAAAGGGGCGCGTGAATTGGTTGGTGGTTTGAAAGTGGTACGTGAACTGGTTTCTGGTTTGAAAGGGCCGCGTGAACTGGTTGGTGGCTTGAAAGGGGTAGGAGAACTGGTTTCTGGTTTGAAAGGGGCGCGTGAACTGGTTGGTGCTTTGAGAGGAGTGTAGACAAGACAAGGGTGTTAAAAATCATTGCATTAGACTGGGTTAGTTGGTTGCTTGCTTCATTCGTTATTATTTAAAGCCAGAAAATATGTTCAGATTGTGAGAATTTATAGGCGAGGTAATAATGGTTTAGTGATGCAAGTCCTACTAATTAACCTTTACGTGGGGGAGAAAAGGTGGATGCATACCTTTCCCATGTGCACATGTGCGTTAGTGAATATAATGAACCCAGTTTGAATTTGAACTCTGCTCTCCGATTAACAATTGGAGACACTATCCACTACACGACCAAGCCTGCAACACCTGGTGTTCTCAAGCGGTCACTCATCTTGACTCGACGTTGCTTAACATCGGTGATCGTACGGGAACCAGTTTTTCAATATAACGTGGCCTTTATCCAAGAACAAGACAGGATGTTCCTAGACATGGATCAAGGACAATCTACCTGCTTAGATTAAATAAAAGTTTCGGCTCAAAATTCCCCGTAGCTTACTCGGACCGGACAAACTGATGAAAGCCGGAGGGTAAATTGGTCGAAACGTTCCTATAACAACAACAAAGATTAGAACAGGAGTCCGCCTGTTAACAACGTGAGTAGATTTTGTGTGGATGTTTTTCTTTTTAATCATTAAATTTGTGTTGTTTTTTTTTTTTTTTGTGTTTTTTAATTATCTCAGTAATTTGTGTGGGGTGGAGAGGAGGTACAGCCCTGATAATCGAGTAAACAGAAGCCTGTAAATTGTTCGAGATTCCTCTCTTGTTTTGTAGACTAATGAGAGTTTTTTTTTCGGGAACGATGCAACTAAAACGGATAAAAGTGCTACTTGTACTGGCAAAGAAAATGATTAGATTTTTGTAAACGTAAAAAGGAAAAAAATTTATTCCAAATATGATTGCACAGAAAATGAAACATAAAAAAGCAAATACAAACAAATGTTGAAAATATGAGGGAAAATGTTTGTTTTTTTTTTTAATGTCGTGTAGAAATCGGACAACTCAGGACTGAGACAACACAGAACTGAGACAATCCATGACTGAGACAACTCAGGACTGATACAACTCAGGACTGAGACAAGTCAGGATTGAGACAACTTGGCACCAGAAAAACATCATTATTTTATAACAGAATAAAAGTCATTTATTAAGGATTAAGAACTAAATTAGTGAATATGTTTCTTCAAATAAGGCATTTGTAAATGCATTCTGTAAAATATGAACCGATTTTTTTAATTATTTTTAATAAAGTAAATCGTAAAGATTTTTTTTTTATTAAATTAATTGACATATAAAAAATAATTTAATAAAAGACACTCGTTTTTAATTACTTCTTAATAAATTAAATCGAAAAATGAAAATGAAAATGGAGGATATTTTTGTTTTTAATTATTTTTAAGAACGTAAATCGTAATGTAATTTATTTTTTAATAAAGTAAATCGAACTTTTCATTTTTTTTTATATGTATGCGATCTCGGCTTCCTGTATTTTATTTCAATCAAATACTTGCTACCTGACACCCCCTATTTCCTTATGACATTTGTTCTTCCTTCTTTCTTTTCAGATTTGTCAAGTAATCTATTCAATGCTTTTCAACGTACAACGGCCGAAACGTTGTGAACATGACAATGAAGATGAGAATAACAGTCCGCGTAATGTAAATAATCATGATACCTCATCTCAGAGATATAGACATCTCTTCTTTCCTCGTTACGTGCTCAAGCAAATTCAGCTGTGTCTTTTTTAATTGTTAGTAAAATTTTAGTAGTTCATATTACCTTTACAACTTCCTAATTTATCTCATGCATTGTCCATGATATTCTAAAACATTTCTGTCTGAATATCTGAGATGAGGAGTTGTCATTATTTATATTATTTATATTCGGACTAGTGTCCTCACCTTTGTTGTTTTTATCACAACGTTTTGGCTGTTGTACCCACCAACCTCCATCACGTGTACATTTATCAGGGTAACTATCGGAAATTCTGAACTGAACCCGTTGTTTAATATACGGGGTTAGAATGTTCTCGTTTCAGCCTATCTTGAAATCCTAAGTTCTAGATTAAATAAGTTCAGTTTAGAATATCCCAGATCAATATAACACCTGAGGAAGGCGGGAGAGCACAACGCCCAAACGTTGTGATAATAACAGCAAAGATGAGGAGAATAGTCCAAATACAAATTGTGTAAATATTTTCAACATATTTTATAAGAGGCACTCAAGGTAGAGAGTTGCTGAATGATGTTGTTGAATGGCCGTAAAAAAAAAGGAAGTCAGTGGAGATTATGAGGATCGATAAAGATTGACGCTAAACTGGAAGAGGTTATTATCGTGGTGATCGGAAAAGCATCCTTTCAGGAGTCTGTTTCATAAAGCAATATTTAACAGTCCCCCCACAAGGAATGTATGTGGCACAAGGCCGAGTTTAACGTGGGTTTCTCCGAGCCCATAGGCTCGGCCAAAAATATCCCCTTTGAACCCGCCTAGACGGGTTCAGGGACTGTCTACCTCCCCGGACGCAACCTTGCCCTTCGGCAAAGCTTCGTCCGGGTTCATCTCTGCCAAAGCAGAGAGTTCGACAGAAGTCGTACACAGAAGACATAAAGCAGAAACTGTCCAAATAGAAGTTCCTGCTTACCACTGGAATACGAAAGGAATGTGGATGATTCTCTTCTGTGGCATAGTGTGTTATAGTTTTAAAGGCATGGACTCTTGGAACTAAAGAATGAAATCGAGATAGAACAGCATGAGACTTCCGAAGTTTCGTCTATGGGAAAGAGGATGTAGGGTGGAAAATAATTAACCACCAACAACCTCATGTAAACACTTTTGAACTATGCCAAGGCTGAGAAGGGAGAATTAAAAAGCTGCAGCACAGATATGACAGGAATACTCCATTTTTATATTATATTTTACTCAATACAAAGACCAAGGACCGATTTTAAATGTGAATTAAGTTTAAGTGAATTAAATTAATGATTTTTTTTTTCTTTTTCCTAAGGTTTTAATGTTTTTTTCTAATAACAGTTATCAGTTAACATTGAGCTAAAAAGCTTAATAATAACTGATAGTTTTTTTTCCTGGAGTTCAAGTATCTCTCCGTACTATCTTTCCAATTACGTAATGCTCAGGTCATCGTCTTTCCCATGTTTTTTTTTTTTGTTTTTTTTTTTGCAAGACGCTTGACAAGTGTTTCACATGGTCTATTAATATATAAGACATAGCCTAGGGAAGAAGATATTGGTTGATACCTTTTCCAAGGGTATTAGTACGAAAGTGAATGCAGCAAACTAGACTGATATGTGAACACAACTCACTGATTCCACCCAGAGCGCCGATAGCTGTTAGGCTACCCGTGCATTCATATATTAGCTCTACACATTTTAAAATACATATTGTTAAATAAAATATTACTTAAACTTTAAACTAAACGTAGCTTAGATATGGCAAAAGGCCAAAAGTATGGGGCACACAGTTAGGATGGTGATTAAACAACAGGAGAATTCCTCAGATATGTAGGACCTTCCTCGGTATTCTTGCTTCTGGTCTTTTGGCATTGTTCCAAGCAGCTCTAAAATTCAAAGCCTACACTGTTCTGTTTCCATGGAATGTCGGGCCATTTCTTTTTAATATCTCATTTTGAATCTGTGGGCCGTTTGCTTCGCCAGATCCTCGGCATAAGGATTTTAGCTCAATAATAACTGATAGATTTTCCTTGGAGTTCAAGTAGGCGTATATCTCTGTACTATCTCTCCAGTTACGTAATGCTCTGGTCATCGTCTTTTTTCATTCTTTTGCAAGATGCTTGACAAGTGTTCCACGTGGTCTATTAATGACTGGTTCATCTAGTACCTTCATGTGTGGCAATATTATTCTGCACTTGCGCAAGGTGCTGTTTATTTGTCAGCTTTTATCTCTGTTCTTGTAAATGCTAAAGAGCAACGTGACAATGAAAGATGCTGACGTGAACGTAATCGACTTAGTTGTACGGATTTGCGCACGCGCGAAAGAACGAGCAAAAAGGATGTTACTAATAGCGAGGAAGATGAATAAATTGTTCTCAACGAAAATTCAAAGCAAATCAGGCTATGTAACTTGAGCGTAGTGCATTTGTGGTCTGCAAAAATTAAATTAGGCTATTATCTCGTTAAACAAACAAGTTGTGCCTCAAATGATCTGATTTTTAAAATAGTTTGTTGTATTTACAGATAGATTTTCGCTATATCTGGTAGCGGAGAAGAGAATCATACTCTCCGCCTCCCGCAGGCTATAAAGTGTGTTCCAATAACTTGGACCGATTTTAAATGCGAATTAAGTTTAAGCGTCTAATGATTTTATCTTTTTCTTTCAGATTTGTCGGACAGTTGGGCGATATCATTTTTTAGACATAATTGCCATTACGTAAATAACATGATCCAATAGAGAAAGAAAGAAATTTTCACCGATAACATTGATTTATTTACTACTGACTTTGATCCGTCTTAATGAAACATCCTTATATATAATCCGTCTTAATGAAACACCCTTTAGAATAAATTAAGTGCTGATTACGAGCATATTGTTTTATCGCCTGTTCCAGTGGGTTACATTTACTGTGTAACTTGGAGCAAGGAAAACAAGGATTGACACGTCTAGCAACAATAATAGATTTGGTCACTATGTTTTATTTCACCTTTATTCCGAGAGAGTTATTTCCCTTTTGAAACTAACACTCCCTTTTTAGTGTGATGGTAGGTTGTGTGTTAGGGGTTTAATTGTAGCTGTTTGGTGGAATGTCCGACTCTAATTGGCTTTCTAGTTTTCACCCATCGAGGTCTTGGTCTATGTTCAACACTTCTGCCGCTTTGCGTCGACGTTGCAACATTTCCCCGACGGAAATCAAAAGTGTCCAATAAAATGTTGAGTGGAATATTTGACCTTTGGTTTGTGGATATTACAAGTTTAGTAAAGCGTAGTTCGTTTTCTTGCCGTACCCAAATGGAAGATTTCACGCTGACATTGTAAGTGACGTTTCCAGTCTGTAATCTTGTC